ATTATAAAAACGATGCCATGGAGGTTATTAGAGTGAGAGTTACCGTTTTCTGCCAAAATGTGCCCTTCCCTTTTTGACCAGTGTCACTTTTGGGCTAAAACTTACCGTTCCCTTTTCTGCCAATACCTACAGTTTTCTTTAAAATTTACAATTATAACAACCGTTCTTATTAATGAAGTTCAAACAGATATTATATACCTACATAAAAATTAAAAGATCAACATTTTAAAAACCATCGTGATGGAAAAAATGTGGAATGGAAAAGACTAAATAAAGCTTACATTGAAGACTTCAAAAATGCTAAAATATTTAGTTATAAATTTGTCAAACAAATATCATACAATTATAAAAAATAAAAATTTATCTTAATTTTTGACATACCTACCTATTCATGAATGCATATTTTCTTATCATAATTATTATTATATATAGGTATTATAAGAGCTAAATTAATCTATATTTGATTAATGTAATGTGTTATAACAGTTTATTGCCAATTGTTTTATTTTATTATTTTTTCACATAGTTGTTGGTAATAATATTAAAAAAAAAAAAATCACATATTTAATCATATTTAATTAATTATAATAATTTTTAATTTCAGTTGTTATAATTGTAAATTTAAAGAAAACTTATTACTGGCCGAAAAGGGAACGGTAAGTTTTGGCTGAAAAGTGTCACTGGCCAAAAAGGGAAGGGTACATTTTGGCCGAAAAGAAGGCCGCCCATTGGAGAGACTTCCCCAAGAATTGTGCTAGCATTTTCTTAGTATCTAAATTATTTATTTTGTAATTATGTATAATTTATGTTTTTTGCAGATTTATAGATTTATTATTTTTTATTTATTGATTCAAATTGTGGTCCCAGGTTTTCAATGGTTTTTTCTGTGTGATTTAGATATCATACGTTATTTTAAAAATTGAGCAAATTTCAATATTTTAAAACTGAACTAAACAAATAATTTGATGGTTAAATAATTATGCTTATTTTTAGATTTTTCTAGTGTACATTAAATAATTTTTGGCAGTTCATCTGAAAATGTGTTTGTATAATATAGACATGTAGTCTTTGTAAGATAGTCTATATTGGTATTCGATATCACATATTATATATTTTTGTACGCAATGATTTATCATTGAATTTAAATTAATCAAAATTAAAAATTAGTACATAAACGCTTAAAATAATGCAGTTTTAATTGAAACTTGAAATCGGAATGTTTATAAAATATGATGTAATTAAAAACACAAAAGAAAAAGTGAAAAATATTAAAAATAGTGATAAAACAAAAAAAGTGAAACAAAATAAAAAAGGTGGGTAAGTGGATGTCGCTCTGCTGTACAGTAGGTTACAAGTGGGTCACTGTATAATGGATGCTATTAAATTTGAATTCAATGATACAATATCATTGTATAAGAAAAACGATTCTGAGCGAAGACGGTATGTCAGTCTAGGTTTAATACAAATTATATACATATCTATGGTATTAAAAAAAAAATTGACCTATAATAAATTCCAAATTAATCATATCACATTATCACAATATCCATTAGGTACTTATAACACGTTATACATCAACATCAACAACAAACCCTGATACTATCATATATATATAATAGTACACTTTAGAAGTTTCAAGTAGGTACCCACGAATAATATTATATAATCACAACAAAATAACTAGGTTTTTTAATATGTAATTTCGTCCAAATTTGAACATAAAATGACTATAAAAGTAAACTGTGATTGTATATTTTTTAGATTTTTCGGTAAGAGAATTAACTACTTACGTGGAATCTTGTTTTAAATTTTCAATCCTTAGCTATAAAAACTGAACATTTTATAATTTATTAATTACGATGATTAATAATTTTCGAGATTTTGAAAAATTCTATCAAAATTCGATGTTAAAATGCTTATAAAAAAAAATTGTGCCTATGTATTTTTAATATTTTTCAACTGATATTGTAACAATATATCAGGAGCCTTGTATTAAATTTTTACACTTTTTGGCCCAACAGATAAAACTTAATTGATATTTATAGAAAAAAAAACTAAAAAAATTGAAAACTGAAAATGTCCGTAAACGGCTCAAAAAGTGTCAAAATATTTTCAAAATTGTAGGGTGTATAGGAAATGCTAATATAAACATTCAGTGAAATTTTCATGTATCTACAGTAATTCGTTTTTTAATTACAACAAAAAAAGGAAATTGCCACATGAGAAATCGAGTGAATATCCAATGTTGTAAAAATTTGAATTTCAAACGCTCATAAAAATTTAATTTGACTTTCCGGTAGAAATTTTTTATTGATAAAGGTAGACAATCTTATGAGTAATCTTGTATTAGATTTTCAAATCTTAGATTTAAAAAGAAAAATTTTTACGAATTCTTAACTCAAAATAATTTGCTAATTTTCGTGATTTTTCCATATTTTGTCAATTTTTGAACTTTAAATGCTTATAAAAAAAAATTGTGACTAAGGATTTTTAATATTTTTCATCTGCCTTTGAAACAACATATTAGGAGCCTTCTATTAAATTTTCAAGCTTTCGCAACCAACAAATAAAATTTTATTGAAATTTTTAGAAAAAAAACTAAAAAAAAATGGAAAATGAAAATGTCCCTAAACAGTTCAAAATAAATCAAAATATTTTGAAAATGTTATCGTGTATAGAAAATGCAAATATAAACAACCAGTGAAAATTTCATGTATATACGTTCATTTGTTTTAGAGTTACACCAATAACCAAAATCGATTTTTTGGAAAATCAATTTTGCGTAAAAATTCCCGTTTTTCCTTAATTTTTATGTTGTTTTTCCCGGCGCTTGTGAAAACTACTGGGAAATTTAAATTTTGACCTCCCCAATGCACCAACGATATTCACTTTCCAATCGAACAAGATACTGAAGTCGAAAATCGAAGCATTATTTCGACTACTTATCGTGTACACAGATACAAAAAAAATAAAAAAATAAAAAAATAAAAAAACACACATCATTGTAAAATCAATACATTCATCGTTTCACTCAGAATCTAAAATAATATCAAATTATTGATGATATATCGACAAAAGTGTCGCAAATCGCAATTGCATTTTTAAAACCATTTAAATTGTCCTAAAAATTATTCTTGGGTGTTTTAATTATTATAATTTATTTTATTTATTACAATATAAACGCCGAACGGCTATTAAAAATACAATGAGTATGAAATATGATCAACTTAAATAATGCATAGTGAAACAGTATTCAGTAATACATATAATATAGGTAACAGATTATAACAATAATTAATAATTTAAGTAAATATAAATACTATCTAGGATGTAGACAAAGGTCACTCCAGGTTATCCAACCTAAGAATCCTATGCAATGGATAATTATGGCGTAACGTAGTATGAATAACGTATAAAAAAAAATCATGTAATGTAGATTGAAGAATTTGTTAAAGAAAAAAAATAATTGAAATCAAATCAAATCAAATGTTTAAACAGTTTATGAAAGAATATGAGTTTTATATTTAAAAAAAAAAACTTTTGTGGGAAAAATAGACAATGAAAATTGTAGTTTAAAAAAGACTTGAACGGTCAAATTAAGTCCAGAAAATAAATAATCAAGTGTGTTCAATGTTCTCACTGCTCAGTAGGTATTGTAAATTATATATAATACCATAATATTAGACATTTATACCCGTTGGCTATTACCCAATGGCCAATATATGTTGTTATATTCAACTAATAATTCACATGATCACTGTTCACACAGAAACAATCAGATTTAAGAACTATAATTTATTAGTTATTACTAAAAATATTGTTATGTTTTACTTCATAAGATAAATATTCTAAATATTTTTTTATACTTACAAGTTTTTATTTGATTCAGTTGATATGGTAAATTATTTAACTGTTTGGAAAAATAAGGCCATATTGATTTGGAAATTACTGTAAATTTGTATTAGCATATTCAATATTATGCATGATGGAATTTTTCCGAACAAGAAAAAATACTTAAAATACTTGTATCAGAACAGTGAACTTACATGTATAATATCACTTTCTCATTGACACACGTTTAAATCATTTATTGAACTCGAGGTTTTAAAATACCTAGTATAATATCACGATGGCTATGTTTATAATATGTAATTTTTATTAATATTAATTTTTTATCTGTTGTGTCAAATGCTGACTTAACAAAAATAATAGCTTATCAATTATCGGACTTGTGCACTAGAACCGTGGTCTAGTTTATTGTGGTTGAGTGCTTCTAATTAGATATTAGGTAATTATATTGAGCCATATTGTGGATATTAGTGGGTTTCTTTATTTGCAGTAATTTTGTTTTGAATTAGTACTAAATTTCAGAATTTTTGTTTACTCCAAATTAAAATTTGTATTGATATGGTTTTGATTGTATAGCTATTATCACAAACAGTATTAAATTGCATAGGTACATTTAAAATATTTTTATTTAGAAAATTTGATCATATAAAGAATATTTAAAAATAAAATAAATGCATACATAACTTATGGTAGTAAATAGTATTTTCATTTCCAAAACTATAAAATACACTTATAGGTAGTTATTTTTTTTATAGATAATTTTATTCGAAAAATTGTGTACAATATTAAAACATTCAGATAGGTAAGCATAATACGTATGCAATTTCTACACAGTAGGTACCTACTATGGTAGTAAGTATTTATCGGTATTAATGAAAATTATTCAAAAGATAGTACATAATTTTATTATAGAATATAGCTAAAACTCAGTAAATACAGTATACAATTTAAAATTAACCGATTTGCAGGCAACATAATATTCATGTACCCTTGATATGAGTATGGTCCAGACACCAAGTACTTATATAATATTGATAGAAACTATTTCAACTCACACCGTTGAAGAAAAACGTATTACAAAAATAAATAGGGTTAAACAGTTTTGTACCATTTGTATTTTATTCAGGTACAGTTTATACGAATTGAATGTTTCAATTTTTCTTTTCCTTCTTTTTGGGTGGAACGGTCTTTTTGAATAATTTCTTGTAGATAGCTTTTAGCACAAAGTAAATTAGATACAATACAACAAAAATGATTAGCAAGATAAAACCGATGACATCTACTAAGTAATACTTCCACCAAGGCATTCCAACGGCCGCGGTCCTCAAGTGTTTCGCCCCTTTGTGTCTTATTACGTACTCTGTCCAGTAGACGGCTGTTTCCGTTGCGTTTAATGGTCTGTCTTTGAACCGTTTTGCTAATTTGTTCGCATTTATTGCGTAACTGGAAAAAATATGTGCACTATTATAATATTATACTGGATAAAAATAATTAATTACAATATTTGAATACATATAAAATTAATTTATCACAATTTTATCGTTGTATGATTTTAGAATTATGATCAAACAAATGATTAATGAAAATGAATAATAATATTATGGAAACACTAGGTAATGTCGTACTTAATGACAATAATAATTCTTGTATTTACACTGTTTACAGTCTCACCTGTTATTGTTAACTATTGTTGTAATAGCGTTGTATAGAATATCATTCGTCAAAGTTTCATAGTCCAATATAATACCTGAACCCTGTTGTACCAGTTTTAATATATTTCTAGGTTGATCGAAGAAAAATGGAATGCCTACGACGGGTACGCCCGAATGTACAGCTTCTATGATCCCTAACAATCCACCGTGGGTCATAAACAGTCGTACTTTTGGATGACCTGAAATTTAAAACTGTATTTAATTGTGTTCATAATAAACGTTATAGCCGTTATATATGTATGAATTATTTTATGATTTATGCCCATATATAACAGTAATTTATAATATACAGAGGGATTCAATAAGCAATGGTCATGGTTACCAATATTTGTTCATATTTGCATTTCACTGCCCCCCTCAGACAGGAATTTTTATATTAAGTTTTGATAAGCGGAGTAGTGGACAAACATTTCACGGGATAACCCCGTACCACACCACACCGCTCATCAAAATTTTAAATACTTATAACTCATAAACTACTCTCCCTAAATTCGATTTTTATGTTTCGAAATACTTAGATAAATATTCTGCTTTGTAATATGAAATTAAAACTATATGTTATCATTCAAAAAAGTAAAAAACTTAAAAAATTATAAGAATAAAAAATATTTAAAAATATAATTTTTAATAAAAACGTTGTTTTGTAAACGACTTGAAACTATGTAAAATAATATTTTTAAATGATGAGTGTTCAATGATAAAAGAAATACTGTATAAAAGTTAAATAAACTGTTCAAATTTCAAAAAATAAATCTGTAAAAATGGTGGTTCTCGAAATAAGTTTGTACCTCCTCTACAGGTAACTCCTTAAATGGTATTGAAAAACTAACTGTCTGAAAATATAGTCTTTAAGTATACTAAATAATTATTCAATAAATCAACATTTTCATTGTTATAGGATGAAATATGAGTAAGCATAGTTGGTGAATCACTCTGCAGTAGGTACCTATAGATATGCATGGTGAATTTGGAGGGACAATTTCACATCTGAAATTACATTTAAATACGTGATATCTTTCTTTACATGTATCATAATATACTGTTATATAAACCATAAACTTATTGTCTTATTACATACTCAAAATGTCTCTTTGAGGCATCCATTTGCTTATGTACACGTTGTCAGGTTTGTCTGGCATTTCTTCTTCGTATTTCCACAAGACTCTGATGGGTAATTTTGCGAATACATCCTTAAACATTTGCAATACATTTGGTGGTAGAGTAGATATACGAATAAGAGACCCAAACGTGAAAAACATAACTCCATTCGGTGAGTCTTCGATGAACTTCAATATGTCCTGTTTACAAAAATTCTATAAATTAGTAATTACTAAAGAAATTGTTAATAAGGACCAATACCTATATGTAAGTGAATAACTGGATAAGTGTTAATACATGTGTAACATGATGTATAAGTACGTCACTTTATAGTTGCGCGTACTACTAGTAGGTATGCGTATAATAGTATGTGCATTTTTCACATAATCAATTTCTAATTAGTTATATTTTTTTAAAATTCATATATTTACACTACCTATTCTTTTTTTAGATTCTGAGTGGAACGATAAATGTATTGATTTTACAATGATGTGTGTTTATTTATTTTTTTTGTATCTGTGTACACGATAAGTAGTCGAAATAATGCTTCGATTTTCGACTTTAGTATCTTGTTCGATTGGAAAGTGAATATCGTTGGTGCATTGGGGAGGTCAAAATTTAAATTTCCCAGTAGTTTTCACAAGCGCCGGGAAAAACAACATAAAAATTAAGGAAAAACGGGAATTTTTACGCAAAATTGGTTTTCCAAAAAATCGATTTTGGTTATTGGTGTAACTCTAAAACAAATGAACGTATATACATGAAATTTTCACTGGTTGTTTATAATTGCATTTTCTATACACGATAACATTTTCAAAATATTTTGATTTATTTTGAACTGTTTAGGGACATTTTCATTTTCCATTTTTTTTTAGTTTTTTTTCTAAAAATATCAATAAAATTTTATTTGTTGGTTGCGAAAGCTTGAAAATTTAATAGAAGGCTCCTAATATGTTGTTTCAAAGGCAGATGAAAAATATTAAAAATCCTTAGTCACAATTTTTTTTTATAAGCATTTAAAGTTCAAAAATTGACAAAATATGGAAAAATCACGAAAATTAGCAAATTATTTTGAGTTAAGAATTCGTAAAAATTTTTCTTTTTAAATCTAAGATTTGAAAATGAAACACAAGATTCCTTATAAGATTATCTACCATTATCAATAAAAAAATCTCTACCGGACAGTCAAGTTAAATTTTTATGAGCGTTTGAAATTCAAATTTTTACAACATTGGATATTCACTCGATTACTCATGTAGCGATTTCTTTATTTTGTTGCAATTCAAAAACGAACAACTGTAGATACATGAAAATTTCACTGAATGTTTAAATTAGCATTTTCTATACACCATACAATTTTGAAAATATTTTGACTCTTTTTGAGCTGTTTATGGACATTTACAGCTTTCAATTTTTTTAGTTTTTTTTTCTATAAATATCAATAAAGTTTTATCTGTTTGGCCAAAAAGTGTAAAAATTTAATACAAGGCTCCTGATATATTGTTACAATATCCGTTGAAAAATATTAAAAATACATAGGCACGATTTTTTTTTATAAGCATTTAAAGTTGGAATTTTGACAAAATTTATCAAAATATCGAAAATTATCAATCGTTGGAATTAAAAATTATAAAATGTTCAGTTTTTATAACTAAGAGTTGAAAATTTAAAACAAAGATTCTCTTAAATAATTCATACTGTAACCAAAAAATCTAAAAAATATATAAACACACTTATTTTTTACAGACATTTTAATTTCAAATTTAGACAAAATTTCATATTTAAACCAAGAATTATGATTTTAGTTATTTTGTTGTGATTGAATAATATTATTCGTGGGTACTTGAAACTTCTAAAGTGTACTATTATATATCTATGATAGTATCACGGTTTTTGTTGATGTATAACGCGTTATAAGTATCTAATGGATATTGTGATATGATTAGTTTGGAATTTATTATAGGTACCTATTATAGGTCAATTTTTTGTTTAATACCATAGATATGTATATAATATGTCTTATACATAGACTGACATACCGTCACCGCTCAGAATCGTTTTTCTTATACAATGATATTATATCATTGAATTCAAATTTAATACCATCCATTATACAGTGACCCACTTGTAACCTACTGTACAGCAGAGCGACATCCACTTACCCACCCTTTTTCTTCATGTATCCTCATGATTTATTGTTATTAAATTTTGTATAGATTGTAAGTTTGTGAGAATGTGATTTGTCCACTGCTTAGTTTTGAAATTGAGTAATAGTATACCTTATTAATTATTTATTTGTTTCAAAACCACATAAAGTAATTTAATATATTAAAAAAAGTTAAACTTATTTTTATCATATTACGAATTACATAATACAGAAATATTTAAACTAGGTATTAGAAGCGTACCTAATATTAGTTATTAGTTATTACACGTCTATATTAGAAATTATAATGTATTAAAAAATGTATTGTTTATTGGAATTATTTATTGTTATAAATAAAAATAAATACTACACATTTTTTGTATAATTTAATTCCATAGGTACCTGCCACCATTTCAAGAATTGGGTCCCTGGTACCTAATTCAAGAAACGATAATAGCTTAGCTTGTTATTTTATTTTATTTCATCAGTCTGTTAAAATAAATGTGATATTTATGTAAAATGCTATTTAGATTTAATTTATGAAATATTTTTGAAGTACCTATTAATATCAATTTTAATTTAATTTAAATATTATTTGAGCTAGTGGATAAATAATTATTCGTTCAAGTATTTAGAGATTTGTATAATAATGAGCGAGTGATATATTGGTGATGTTCTTTTATAGTGCAAGAGTTGATCAAAAAGATTCGAGGGACCATATCTATAGGTAGATCTCGGATCTTCATATTGTAGTATTCTATAGAGGCCATCGTTGTCCCAGTAGTTCCTAACAGTTTAAAAATATTGATGATGTATAATTAAACATGGTTCAATTATTGCTTTCAATTATTTTTTTTCCCTTAATAAATCACTCTATTCACCATGGTGAGTGGAGTTAGACGAATGGCTAACGCCTTGTATTTGCAGTCCGCAGCAGGAACCTATGCCCTGTTCGTTTTTTTTAATCGTAAAATTCTTAGAACCGCGTTCAATTTAAAACAAAAACAAAATGTATATTTGTATACATTTTATTGAGTGGTCAGTATTTACCTTGGGTATGGGCCTGGGGGATTTAACATGTATTCCACCAATTTCCACCATGTTGGGAACTAGAGGCCGTGGTCCGTCCAAGGAAAAGTGGCCATTGACAAACACCATGGAAGTGTTGTAAACTATTTCGTTGATGTGAGGTGTGTCCGGTCCGAAGTTCTCTTTCAACAGTTCATTTGCTGGCCACTCACTGTAATACTTCCACGCCATTTTAAAGTATATATAGTACAAAGTGTTGATCATACGTTCTTTAAAGTTCATCTTTCCAGCGGCTCTCGTTACGATCGTTGGTATGTAAGACGGGTTGTCTGGGCCACCTACACGGTCATAGCTCCAAGGCAGATGTGAGCTGGACATAATGGACAATAGGGGTGCCTTGAAATGGTAAGCATATCCAACATCACAATCAGCTCCAAATATTTCTGTGAAAACCTAAAAACAAAAATAAATAATAATAATCATTATCGTTGCTTCGACTTTAATAAGTCAGTATCGAAACAAATAAACAATAAACAATTTAAATGAAACATAGAAGTATTAAAAGATTTGAAAACTATTGTTTTATTTACACCATAGTCCATTAGTCCATTACTTTTCATGTATAGTACACATTTATCGTGTAACATATTTGAATTTCTTAAAATTACATTTTATTATTATTCCATACTAAATTAATATTTTATATTAATTTAGTTAGTTTTATATTTCCTATTCATTAATTATTTAATTATTGTCTTCTTAAATAAATTGTATTATGTCGCATACTTGTATGCGGTTTAAGTAATTTCGAATTATAATTAAGTTTTTACCGTTTGTAGAAAATCACACGTTACACGCATAGGCGTGTTATAATGAGAGAAATAATTGTGAACTTATGAAGTTTACATTTTGACGGATAATTCGTCTCCGAGTGAATTTATACAACATTATACTTAAAATTAAATGCATTACAATTTAATACTGTAACTGCATATATGAGTACGTATAGTGATTTAAGATTTTTTTAATAAACAGACACCCATAACACTGTTAAATGTTTGTGTTTTTCAAAGAAATATTTTTACATAGTCTGAACTACTTACCTATAAGTACTTGCTAAGTTGTAATACTACATTTTTAGATGCTTTAGTTTATGAAATTATAAATATAGACATATGTTATCGTCACTCGTCATATTAAATAACAAAAAATATAATTAAAGGTACCTACTATGATAGCTGCTATTGCGCGATGACGAAGACAATCGTAGCAACATCAGTTCGTAATCTTTGTGTGTTGGCAACCCTAGATATTTACCCAATTTTTCATGTGACCTTTTTGAAAACAATGTTTGATTCCCATCACTTTAATTTTTTTAATTACCATAGCTAAAATAATCTACTTTTCTTAATTTCTTAATTTATTTTTCTCATATTATAATAATATTTGTTATGACTAATTTTCGGTGACCTACTCAAAATTATTCGCGACCATATTATGGTCGAGCATTTCTGGTACACAGTTTATATTATTATATTAACGTATAATAATGATACTACGACGGGTGAAAAATAACAAAATCGCACTGACCGCATCGAACTTGATGCCGCTTTGGAGTAGCGCTTGCACTTCGGGCAGCTTCTGGGTCTTCCGACAGATATTCATTTGATGGTCAGCGATGAACCATTGGTTAGCGAACACGCTGGCCAGGTATTTGAGCACCAACTCGATGCCGACCGTGTTCACCGCGGACGGCAACGTCCCGGAAACGTCGATGTCCGTGTAGTTGGCCAGCGGCGATTTCTGCGGGAACGCCGTGATCACCGTCACGTTGTGGCCGCGCGCCGCCAGGGCCTTCATCAGGCTCTCGTACACCACCCAGTGGCTGCGGCCGTTGATGGGGAACACGCCTAGGATGTTGGCGCCGTCAGTGGCAGACAGCGCGCCCAGGACGGCCACCAAGAGCAGCCCGACGTACTTCATCTGCGCAAGTAAATAAATTATGACGCAATGTTATGTTGTGTATATGCGTATCTAAATATTGTAATGTCGCTTTGCAGACCAAAACGCAAAGGGGTGGATCATCTAGACACTAAAATCATGGTTGGGCTAGATGCAAATAGTATAGTCGTCTATTTGAGTCATATGTATTGTTATTATTGTAATAATCTTACATTTAAAAAGTCATAAACCAAAATCGTATAATTAAATTTTCGTGATTTTGATGAATTTTCATAAAATTTGAAATTCTAATACTTACAAAGAAAATGGTACGTACATATATTTAATATTATTAAGCTTCTATAGTTTCAACTTACGAAGAACCTTATATTAATTTCCCAACCTTTTTAACCCAAAGAATAGTTTTTATCGTAATTTTTAGATATAAACTAAAAAAAAAATTTAAATGTTTATAAAAAGCTCAAAAATATACAAATTATGTTGAAAATGTTATCATAATATATAAAAGATGATAACATAGACATTTTGTGAAAATTTCATGTAACTACTGTTATTCGTTATTAAGTTACACAAAAAAATACTATTTTGTCATAAACTGATTACTGCAGGTACCTATTACGTTAGTATACCTATACTGAAAAAACCATCAACACTTTGATATGATAATATGATATATATGATAACTTTTGACCTTTATAGTTATACATTTTACTATTTTAGTATTTTACCTATTACAATAAATAAATAATATTATTAATTTAATTAATTTACAATAATATGGTCAACCATAGTTTTATTTCTCTGAATCGGCATCACTGATACATTAATTCTCTTGGTCGTACCAATTTGCATCACCAACTATGAATGTTTCGTCTATGATGTACATCATAGTATCACATTTCTTACTAATACATAGCCACATAGGTACCTATATTGATTTTAAATATTTATTTTGCACAAAAATAGAAATAAGAGAAAAGTTTGTTACAAAAACACACATTTTTGTTATAGTTGTTATAGGATATAAGACTTTTGGTCTTTTGGATATATAAAAATTAAAAAATTCTATTAGAATGTGAGAGATGTGGGAAGATACTTTTCGTTGATCAATGAATATTTATCACTAAACAATCCTTCCGCCACCATAGCATTATTGAAATGTGTCTTTTTGACATTCAAATTTCAAATATTACCTGATTATACTTCAATTACCTTACATTTTATTTACCTGGTGAATTATTATTTATTATATTTAAAATTTACGACATTTAAAAATGCTCTCTGCTAATATGTATTCTGTTTGAAAATGAATTAGGTAGGAAATAGCTAGTACTATTGAGGCAATTATTACGTGTACCGACCTACGACGAAAAAATATGTTTCCTTATCACTATTATTTATTTGTATGACTGTATAATGAATTCCATTTTATTATTTATTATATAATACAATCAACAATGGTATATTTTTAAATATGATTCGCTTATCAAAGATTCAACTATATGAAATTTATAATTTGGCTTTATAATTGCGTTATACTTATGTCTTAAGTTATTTATTTTTATATACAATATATTAACATTATGTGATTGTGTATTTTAACGACTTGTGTACATTGTACATATCTAACAAGTAACAAATATTATTTAGTTATTAAGTCAATATTTATATTTTCAAAACGATTGGTACCTACATTATGTAACATTTTAAACGATTTTGATTAAAGTGTTCAAACTGCGGAAAATTGTTTTCACTATAATCAATGTAATTTCAAATAATATGGTATAGGTAAATAAATATAGAGCTTTCAGAAAGCTAATTGAAATTGGCTTACAAATATAATATAATCCTACTACGGCAAATGAGTTTGTACAGAAATTGAATTCGTTAACAAAACTCGCTAGTTTATTATTATTACTAATTATTAGTATGTAGGTAATTGGTAGTAGTAGGTAGTTGGCATGGATAACCAATAGTATTATCGTAAAATGTATAGTTTATGTAATGAAGTTAAACATTAAAAAAATAGCAAAATAAGTTAATATGATAATATATTAATTGTTATAAATTTGGCACTACTACACACATTTAAACTGAATATTTGTTGGAATAATATTAAAATAAACGTTTTTCTTAATTTTAATCGGTTATCTTATGCTTATAATTTGGATTAATTAAGACAAATATTCTTTACATGTAAAATTGTAAAATAAATATAAGAGGGTAAAATCGTAGTCGCCGAATAAGTCATGTTCTTAATGCATAGGTGCGGTACATTTCAGGTACAAAAAAATTTTTTTTTTCTTTACAGTATATTATATTCATATAAATTATTTATAAAACAACTGATAGTGTAGGTAAATTTATTTTCTTCAAATGGTCATCATCTGTTTTAATCACTTTCAAGATAGGTGTAAAATTGTGAAGTTATGTTACATTCTTAACCATTAATATTAATTATTTATATATTATTTACATCCATCGTAAATATCATGTTCATAAAATATGTAGGTATCAAGAATAAATTCTTATTATATATCATTGTTCGTTACTGAAATTATGATTTAGAATTTTATGTTTAAATATTGATGTAAGTAATAATACATATATAATAAATAATAAACTAAAATAACTAGGGCTCAAAACTTGATGTATTAGGTACTTTTTACCATTTTTTCTATAACGGTATACATTATTATATATTTTAATTAATATATGGAATGTTTCCGTCAAAAATTAACGCAACCTATCGTATTACTATTAGCAAAATAAATTAAAATTATAGCAATATATCAAAACATATACTTAATAATATAGGCTACGGACAGCCTTCGATCAGAATCGTTTTTCGTATTTAATATTTACCATTGAATTCAAATTTACCTCATCCATTACAGTGACTTAACTACTCAATAACGAGATGCACTATAGACATATATGTATAGCAGAGTGGTTATCTACGAGTATATAGGAAGTTTATACTTTCCTCCTTTTTTAGTTTTATATTCCCAAACAGAATATTTTTAAGAGAATTTCTATAAATTAAAATATAATTTCGAACAATTACTTAGTTAATAATATTATATGATAACTCATTATAACTTAGTTACTTATAAGTTTTGATGACAGGAGTGGTTTAGGGGTACCCGCAAAATATTGGTCCACTACTTCGCTAATATAAACGTTAATATACTTATAAGCTAATTAATTACTCGTTAAGAATTCAATTTTTCGCAACCACGGAAAAGAATCCTTAAACAATAGCTTTTGAAAGAATCATCTTGTATAGCTGTAGTTAGTAGGTAGTAGGTACTTTGAAATGTTAACTTACATAATATGTATTAGAAATTAGTTTTTAAAACTATATTAACGATTAATAATACAATCAATTCTGCTTAGCGAACATTTATTATAATTTATTCAGTTTTTATTATTGCACAGTTTAAAGTAGTTATTTTCAAATGATTAAATTAAAATAAATTTATTTTATGATTCAAAACTATTTATATGGAAGTAAACAATTTTTTTAAATTCCTGCTTAATGTTTTAGTGTTTTACTATAACTTAAAAAAAATATTCTCAAATGGGTAATAATTTAAGAATTAGTTTAAATGTAAGTATGTAATAACTAGGTCTAAGATTATATATTTTATGTACGTGGACCATACATAATATCTTATTATGATAGTCTTCATAAATTAAAAACAGTGACGAGTAAGACATGTATGGAAAGATGTGTCAGCCACTGTTATAAGAAAAAAAATCATCAGTAGCCAGTAGGTATATGTATAGTTTATTAATTTCAGTTACAATATTGTTTGTAAGATCATTTATATCGGAAAATCGATTATTAATTATTATACCAAATTCATCAAATAAACAGACTTTGACCTGGATAAAGTGAAAAAAAATAAAATATGGCACTACATTGGTGTATGGTTTATCTCAGTTTTAGTGTAGATGTTTAGATTTAGTGCAAATCAGCATTGGAGTAGGTACCTCGATTTTTTAACAATTTAGACTGAGATAAGAAATCCACCTGTGGCGGATTAGATATAGCACTATTAGTATACCTATTTTCGATCGTCGTTCTAATCGCTCTCTAAACTTTCGTGATATCTTTAAAAACAATCTCTGAAACTTTCGTCAATATTGGTCGACTAGTTTTTAAGTCTAAGCTTGAAACACATGCGGTCATTCCATTTTGTTGTACATTAAAATAACAAATAATGAATTAAAAATTATTTTCTTTTATTGAAAAACAAAATTTCATAACAACGCACTGTGGATTGGCTGGTGTATGTAGAAATTGTATTTAATTTTAAAATTGTACTCCTTTCAACTTCATATATTATCAATATAATTATTCAATTTTCGCGAGTATAAGCGAAATTCATATGTGAGCCACCCTATAGCTGCTCAAATTGGGGACTATATAGGCAATTATTTGATAATATAATTTATATAATATAATTATTCATTTACCTACCTAGTTAAAATAATAAAATGTGATCAGGTGAACCCTATTTGATATTTAATAAATGTGGATATGAGTTTACTTTAAAAAAAAATTCATTTTTCGTAAATAAAATATAATATAAATGGAATAAGTATACAATATCATATTAATATTAATATATTATTAGGTTAATATGTTGTAAATAATATTATATACAGTTTACATAATATTGAAAAGACATGTTATAGTCATGTACCTACCTAATAATATAATGACTTGTGATTAATTTAAGTTCTACTTACGTTTCAACAGATGTCAGTTAAATAATAACAGCGAGTATACGGCTCTAGCAACAGCGTCTGCGCAAAAATTACGAACGCGGTCTTACGACGATTGTCCGTGAATGGTGATGTAACGATCATAGGTTATAATACATATTATTATTTTCTTCTACGACCTATACCGGATCAAAAAAAGCGCTGTTCGGTGTCGATAAGAGCTCGTGAAATAAAAAATAAATACTATTTAAAAAAAAAAAAAACTATCTGTACAAGTATTATCC